TGTGATATACTTTTTTTAAGTCGAACAATAGATAACATAAAAACAAATACAGATTAATTAATACGAATATTAAGTTTTGTTTATAAATCTATATAAGTACCTATTATCGTATCTAAAAATTTCTATTCGGTAAATATAAAAGTACTACTTTAATAATAAGCATAACTGTATATATTTGGAAATGCAATAACATAATTGAATAATAACCGCACATTATTCTCCAAAGCATTAGCTTGAACGAATATTACGCAAGTTTGCCTCTAATTATAAGTTGCTCATCCAATAATCTAGGCACCGCTCTTTACTTTAACTGAAATCTATTAAGCTATTAGAATCCTGCAAAGCATACAAATTAATTAAACCAAAATTAGATGTTACATAGAGGCGGAAATACGTTAATTAATTTTTATATTGCTTTGCTCGCCGTTCAAAGTGTTTTGATTATGAAGTTTGTATAAGAGAGCGAGCTTTGAAATTTTAACAAGCGTCTCAGATGTCTAACGGCTAATTTTCTGTTTTTATAGCGCGGTAGTAGTAAAACATTTTATTATCGCGCTCGTATTTATACAATGAATTTTTCCTTCGAGAGAATAACGTCTGATATGCTGCATTTGCGGTACATGATTCATTGTGTGAGCAACTATATGTGCCGTATATTATAAATGCATTTGTCAAAGTAGAGCTCTCATTCATTGTTTATGAATTATGTGCTTTCAGCGTGAATTTATTCAGTGCCAATTATATTCACTTACAGAAAAGATTCTCAATCTTGATTATTCTAAATTTCCGATTAGGAAAATTACTCAAGTAGAACTTATTACGGTGCCACAAAATTTTCCGGTTATTTAAGGGATGATTGTATATTAATAAACGCATTTGTCAAAGCAGAGCTCTCATTCATGATAAGTCGATAAAACATAAAAAAAATGTGAGTCGATTTCAACCCTCAAACTTACATCTTTTAGTGTGGGTATGGAGCTATGCAAAGGAAAATCTTTGCAATTAGATGTTCAAATAAATCTCGTTTACTGTTGTACGCATTTTCAGTAAAAAATTTATTTTTTTATAGTTTATTATAATTGCTAACTGCTGTATTAAAAACTTGTATTAAAATAAATTTAAAAGACGCGGGCTTGCTAATAGGGTAGAGCGGGGCTTAAAGGTCCGCGGGTAGAAAGGTCGACGACACCGATATCTCAAAAATATATCAGGTCAAGAGTTTTTTAACAACAATATTTGAAAGTAGAAAGAAAACGATGTATTACTAGCCATCACCTTGATCCTAAAGACGTCGCTATCGGGAGGTAAACGAACACTTTTGAAAATCTATAACGAAAGTTTCTTCTTTCGATGTTAGTTTTTTGGTTTTGCTAACGAGACCGTAATATAATATTTAAGTACACATTATTTAATTGTTTTATAAGATATATTGTTAATTTTAAGCAAGATTCAACAGTATTTTTTATTCAATTTCAATAAACGCTTACACGTAGGATATAAAGGATCAACTGAACCTTTACCCTGACAAAGGTGTAATCAATAAAAATAGTAAATAAAAAATTAATTAATTTAAAGATACAAATTTTGCAATAAATAAATTAAATAAATAGTTGTTCCAAAACTCAACAGTATATATGTAATTTTCAAATATAAATGTAATAGAAGTGACTAGGTTGTATATAGACTAAATCACACGAGAATAAGGCATTCCATGATACCATCGCATTACTAGAAACTGAACTCTATAAATCAGTAATATAATATTTTCTTAAATATTTAATTTAATATGATTTATGCTGCAATACATAAAAAATCAAGCATTTTTATATATTTCTCTACATTCAAATGAAGATAGAGTTATCTTCCTAGTTGATCTTTAGAGACGTTTAAAATTCTTAAAGAAACATCATACTATGTAATAAAACACGTTAAGTGACAGTTCTAACGACGTACTAATATTATTATTACATCTTACAGTTATTTATATTCATGTAATCTTTTATAGTCTCGACGTAGGGAGATGGATGTTTGCTATGTATTTGAGCTTTTTAATTTTATTTTATGATTAAATCACAATTTTTGGAAAGCGAATAATGAATTCAGAATTTAGGATTAGAATATTTTAGACTTTAACTAAACAAATAAATTCACAACATTTTAGTTTTTTGTTACATACTTCGCACAGTGCGAAGTCGACTCTATATACGTGGGTTTCATATATATAGAACAAATTCTCCTTTACTGGTTCCTTATAGTTGCAAATTAGTAATTTATATATTTCTGTTGAAAATTTTTTCAGAAGTCCTTGACTAAAAATAACAAATAAATCTGAATTATTAATTGGGAGCTTTTGAAGTGCGTATCGTTCAAGTAAATAGTGAATCAACAATAAATTAGTTATCAGTTATAAATCGCGGATGCATTTCGAGTACCATCTTGAAAAGAATACAAAATAAATTCATGAACCAAATAAATGCAACATAATAGTGAGGCGTAAGGGGGCATTCATTAATCACGTGATCGATTTTTTAAGGATTTTTGACACCCCCCCACCCTTTTGGTGATACGTGGTGATATTCAAAATTACCCCCCTCCCCCACCAAACATTATGTGCACTTTTACTTGCGAGAAAAAATAGCTTTTTTTAATTTTTTTTTTATATGTTTGGATTTTTTTTAAAAATTCATGTGAAAAATAAATACACGTGATATTTTGCAAACCCCCCTCCCCCTAAAAACCTCACGCAATTAATGGATGCCCTCTAATACTAAAACTCAAATTATATACGATTTATAATTGTTACTACTACTACTGTTACTACTGTTTTATCGATGCGTTTTGGCAAAAAATCGAAATTAGTAGTTTATTTTTTTCTTATAATTGTTTCAATTAATATTTTTCTAGTTTGAAAAATTTTATAGCATCAAACATAATTTTAGGAATATATTTTTTTTATTAATCTTTCTGAGTAATGATATATTCTATTAAGAACTAACACTTTGAAATTTTACGTTGAATATATTTTTACAAAATATAACATCATTTTATAACATTCTTGATAAATACCTTTACAATAAATTTTTATCTATTATATTACAAAATTGTGTAATCTGTGAATTTTAAAGATGATAAGATGGCGCTACACGCTTTTTTGTCCTTGGAAATAGTGATATCATGCAAATATTTTCGTTATCGTTTAAGCATTAGTTCGATATCGAATGGGAAGTATTGTATTGTGTTTTAAAATCTTTATACCACGTTATCTATGAAATAGATAACATATGAGCAAATCGACGGCTAATCAACAATTGTTCAATTCAGTAAAGCTCCAAATTTGAGCGAATCAAGTGCTTACAAAGTCGTATCATTCAAAAGTTTGAATTTAATTTTATAAAAGTTTATTGTTTATTATTATATAGGGTTTAATTGATAATTTGATAAACTTTATTATGTTATTTTTGATAGGTTAACTTCAATCTTCAGCTAATTTTGTTTTGACGATATTGAATCCAAGTGTAGAATAGGGCGATGCATTTGTAACTATCTTATATGTTATTGATTTGGAAATTTGTAGTAAATTTGTAAATTTTAAATGATTTTTTAAATGGATGGAAATTTTGTTAATGCATTTTCAAAGAGTAGTTAAGTTTACTTTTGGCGTATGATGATGACCTAAAGAACGTCATAAGTTAATATTAAAATGATTTTTTTAAAAAATTTAGATTAAAATACTTAAAACAACATTTTTAATAAAACTTAAAAAAAAGAATTTGTGCTAATGTCTACCGAGTAATCAAGTCTTTATTTGATTTGTTAGTTTTAATTCATAATTTTTTATATTCATTGCCTTAAGGATTAAATGCCTAATGAATGTTGACTTATTGGAACATATTTTTATTCCGAATGCCGAAATTGTGTTATATTCTTAATGTTATACTTATATTTCTTAACAAATTCTAGCCGGTTAGATATATCATAATAATATAAAAAAAATTAATAAGTGGTTTAAATTGGTAATTGAAACTATAAGAATAATGAGAAGTGATAAATCAGTGATGCAGTGAATCAAAACCTTGGATTACCTCGTGCAATCAGAGATCGCATTAAGTGCAAAATCATCAAATCGTTCTATGTGATGATCGAGTAATGAAGACAATTGCAATCAGCCGACGCTATGCATTTAAAGAACATATTGACATTGACAATCACTTTGTCACTCTTTGTCGAAGGAATATTTGCGGAATCATCTAACGAAGATGAAAAGCTTAGTTTTGATATATCGGAAGATGGAAATACGTCTGCGACCCGCGACAAACGCTATGTCTGCTGCACCAGCCGCTGTGCTCCTGCTGCCACTAACGTCCAGTCTGTCCAGTACCAGGCGGTCAGCACGCGACCGCACCCGCTTATACCGCCCAGGTACAGCTACAGTCCAGTGGTTGTCAGCAATTGCCCGCCGATTATCAGACAACAAGCGCCAGCGGTTATCGTAGTACAAAAGCCTTATGTCAGGCCTGAATGGAAAGGATGGAGATATGGTATGAATTAGTTATACAAAATTAAAAAATATATTCTGACAGTAATGGAAACGTCCAATTTTATAAATTTTTTGAGCAGTTATTAATTATGTATCTGTAATATTTCATATCATTCCTCATAGTCTAATAGCCAGTGGGATTGTTCAAGTATTACGTAAGCAGATTTATTACAATTATTTATCCCCCCATCCCCCTTGTCAGCAAAAATAAGCAAAGCTCTTACCCCCTACCCCCATGCTTACGTAAACATTTTGCAATTAATGTAAGAAAATAAAAATACTACCTATGACGTAATCATCATCCAGACTCCCGTGCCCCCCATGTCAACCCAAAATAAGCAAATCAACAACCCTCCAGCCCCCTATAGTGCTTACGTAATACTTGAACGGTCCCAGTGAACTATTTGACTAACCTGTTTTCTCAAAGCTAGAATTTTTTTTAATGATATTTTATTATCGACCCATTAGGAAGTACCATTCTGGCAGTCATTCTGCGATTGCGTCATCATCCCTTCAATTTGTGAAATTGTCAAATAATTTTTTTTCATAACTTGCTCCCACAAGGCTCAAATTTTGAGGGTGTATTCTTTTAACTGTTTAGAAAGCATATGTAAAATACCAGCCCATTCGGTTGCAAGGGTCTGCCAGTCGAGTACATAATAATCACGACGCACGAGGGCGTTGGCGCATTGCCATATATAATCGACTAACACCCTTATATTTGAATAATTTATACGCCATTTTGAAGGTCTTTTTGAAAACATTGAATTTATACTATTTTTCTAAAATTCATCATCTGTCCTTTTTTACCTCATAGGCTGGGTAAAAAGAGACTGTCAACGGCAAACAGACTTAATGCCTTTTTTTAATTTTGAAGGAATTTCAAAAAATAATAGCTAAATTATTTAATCAATGCAAATCAAAAATTTATGGGCACATTTTTTACAAAGATTACAACGTATAAAACTTGTTCTGATATTTCATTAGAAATATTCATCAGCACAGTTGGAATAACTAATAATTCAAATTATCTAGTAAAATTGCTTCTTTCAACTATTTTTTATTGTTTACACTTTTGGCAGAGCAAAGTTTCAGTTGGTTCTTTTTATCCCACCCACAAATAAGCTTTTATGAAGATAATATAAAAAATGGTTAAATCCAACTTAAAAATAACAATACAACTTGTAAAATATTGAACATTAAATAATGTACGTAAAATTACCTATACTAAGGTCTCGTAAACTAAACAACAGTGCTCACAGACAAAAAAACTGAAAACGAAGGAAATTACTTTTGTTATAGATTTTTAAACATTGCCATTTATCCCCTAATAGCGACGTCGTAAGACAAAAAGGTGATGCCTTCTTTTGCCCCCTACTTTCAAATATTGTTGTTAAAAAAATTCATAACTTTGCTTGTTTTTGAAATATCGGTGGTGAATTACAAATACAGACAAATAAATTATATATATATATATATATATATATATATATATATATATATTGTATATTATTGTTTAAATATTTTATGTAATATTCATTTAATCAAAGCTATTATTATGTTATTTATATAAACTATATTATTGACATCAATATCAATAATGATATTATTTACTTTAGCAATCTTATTATTGTTTGCAGAAATCATTTCAAATTGAATCTAGCTGCACTAGAATTGCAATTTATCAATTATTTGCCCTGATTACGACTATTTGTAAAACGACTAATTATTTGTTAATGATTCAGAAAAGAATTACATCATAATTGTTAAGAAATTATTTATCTATATTACTTACAACGGTATGTATTTACGAGAAATTTGCTGAAGATACACAATATTGTAAATTCAATTTGAAACAAGTTAATAAAAATACTAAAGAAATAAGTTTGAGAAGGTATCTTACATTTATAATAAATGAGGTGAAAATAATTTACTTACAATTAGAAAAGCGTATTCAAAATTTTCATAATCGAAAAATATTTTTTTCATGTTTCTATATTAATCATACTATTTCCATTTATTCAATATAGATATTTTCTGTATTGAAAATATTCAGAGATAAATATATATGGATTTAGAAGGAATTAGAAAAAGTTAGAAGGAATAACAAAAAATATGACGGTTTAATTAATAAAATAATAAATGAAGTTATTATCTTTTATATGTCTTTTATATCTCGTGAACTATAATAAAATATACATTTCAAGCATTATATTTTTGCTATTAAATATTTAACATTTATGTTTTGCTGACTTGTAGTGTTTTTAATGCATTTTGCTACAATGAAAATTAGTGTGATATTTTACTTTTATAAGTGATTATAATTTAGTATAATTATAATTTGTGGTATTTACTCATGTTCTACTGATTTTTTTTTGAAAATTATACATAACAAATTTATTAACCGTTGACATATGTAATATAAATTAACATATGTACTCGTATAAAGTACTTTTTATGCTACATTTAAAAACAACGATTCAAAAATGATGTTGTGGAAAACAGAGATGTAAAAATACTCTGTTCAATTAGATGCATATGTATTTTATAATGATCTATTAGAAAGTTTTATTATCCTTATTGCTTTAGGTTTTATTTGTTTCCTTTTTATACCTTAAGATGATGTAATCTAGCATTGATCGCTATTCTATCCTCTACATATTTTGAACTGGAATGAACCCTAGCTTGTTTTTTTTTTATAAAAGCGATCTTACTAGATTTTTCTATTTTTTCCTCTTCTTATTTCTGTTCATTGTAATGTGCATATATTGTTAGTAATTTATTGCATGATCGCAACTATTTTGAGTTGTCTGGCTGCATGTTCAGTACTTTTGTATCACCAAAGGCATAATGCAGAAAAGCGTTCTAAGGAACAATCCACTGCAATCCTTGAGCAGTGAGTTCAGCTTTATTAATACGATGAATTAATGATTGTAATAATTTTCTTCTATTGTTAAATCTAAGAGTTTAGACTTGGAATTGAACCAAGCGTCTTTGAGTAGTCACTTCAATAAAATTTATGTTGAGCATTTAATTTGGTTTATCAAGCAAGTAGTTACTACTATTGAAATATAGAATTTAAGTATCTAATTCAAAACTATCCGACTTGTTACAAATATTTAGCTTTGTAATTCAAAATCGAATATTCAGCAAAATGCAGAACTATGTGTGGACAAACAATTTTTTAACCAGTCTACTGTGGCGCGTTCATTGAACTGTATGCACAGTGTTGTTTTAAGGTAAAATACCACTTACATATCGGCACAGCCTAAAAATATACTAAATTTCTTTAAATTTGAGAATATGTTTAGTTTTTTTTTTAAATTGCAATCAGATAATAAAGCTAATACAGCAATTAAGATTTTCACAAAAAAGGTATATAGTTTTTTTTCTTTATATTTGTGATGATGTTATATTCTAATTTAAATCACAGTTAATTGGTTGAATTGATAATGATCAAACATATTAATCAAATTGAGCTTATATTTAATGTATCAAATTAACTATACTAATGTCTATAAAATTCGGTATAGTCGTATTAGCGTAAAAACTTTTAATGATTACACTAATTCTTTGCTATTTATACAAATTTTTTTTTATTTCATTTAGTAATTACAACTGTCTATAAAACATAACATCTAGTAATTTTTTTTATTAATATAAGAAAGAAAGGGCATATCAGGCCGCCCAGTGGTCGTCCTAATATTATTGTTGTTTTATACAGAGATAATGAATCAAAATGAATATATCGTATATTTCTATGTTTCTAACATCGCACTATGGATTGCAATTCTTTCTAATCCTAACAAAGTTACTCATTGTATATTATGATATCTATTAATATTTACACATATATTTCGGGACAAGAATTTTCAAGTGGGAATCTGATAAGTTACCATGCGTTGTTCGTTTACAAAGAAGTCTTACAATTAGTTAGAAAGAAGAAAGATATCTCGAGAAAAATGTTATTAGTCAAATACAATAATTGCTTATTATAATTACATTGCTTCCGTAGCCGATGTAAGACATTAATTAGATTATGTGTAAATAAAGATTATAGTAACCTCGTGCGTACGGAGAGCGAACTCGTAAGTGGCGTTTAGTAGTACAGGGATTGACAACCTATGCAAGTCACGGATTTAAATAAAAATAATTATAAGTCATCGACATTTAAAATATTTATTATGTTCTTTTTCATTTTAATACTACGATTGTAATAGAATCAATATAAAAATTAAATATTTTCTAATATTCAAAATCTCAGACATAAAAAATAGTTCATGGTAAATTTTTTCAATAAAAAAGTAATCGACATTTAAAATATTTCTTATGATATTTTTTATTTTAATACTACGACTGTGATAGAATTATTATAAAAATTAAATATTTTCTAATATTCAAAATCTCAGACAAAATACATATCATTGTTTGTGCACTTTATTAGCATAGGATACAAAAAAATTATATAATCACGTGCGCGAAGCAATTGAAATATATTATCTATCCATTTCGGTCACATCAGAAGACGTTATGTTGCATTGACAAAGGACTTGAAACAAAAGTAAATTTTTATTGTTTCGATTAGTTTTAATTGAAATTTATTTATTTATACCTCAAAGGTCATTAGAATAATTTAATAAGTTTAACGAATTAGGAAAATGTTGAAGGTAGCTTTATATTTTGTGATTACCATAAACTTGAATATTTTTAACATAACGCGTTGTTGGTGTTATTTCTATCACCAACATCAATAATTTGTCAAAATCGTAATAGATTTTTTATTAATTACTTTTTTATAAATAACAATGTGTAATACCTCAATACTCCTTAATAGAAGGTCACACAACCAGTATTATTTCATGGATTTCATGTTTCATAAATTATGTGAGGAGCTGGTAATTAAAGTGAACCGTTTCAAAAATCTGAGATACAATGAGGATATGATGAGTTTTTCACTAAATATGTATACTTGTCCTTAAATGACAGCAAAAAATCTGCTGTCTCGAAATTTGTTTCACATTTTACGAAAACCCAG